GGGGGGGGCGGGGAGGGGGCAACATGGCGGCTACGTATTAACTTCCCCCCCTTGGCAGCCAGCGCTGCCGCCGCTCTCCCCCGCTCCCAGCCCTGGCATGCTGGGCATGATGGAGAAGGGAGCGGAGCTCTTGGGGGGTAAGAGCCGGGCAGCCCCCAACAGCGCCAAGAGCAGCAGCCCCTCCAACGGGCACTACTCGGAGCCGGAGAGCGGCGGCGGCGACAGTGGCGACGAGCACGGTGCGAGCCTGGGGCCGCCCCGCCAGCGGCGGGAGGGGGGGTGGCGGAGGCGGCGGGAGGGGCGGCGAGCCGAGCCGAGCCGCCTCCCCCTTCCCCTTCCCGGAGCCGGGGCTCCGCCGCTCCGTCCGTGCTGCGGCCGAGCCGCGGCCGCGCGTGTGCGGGGCCGGGGGGCGGGAGCGCGCGGCGCGGCCCCGCGGCTGCCCCCGCGGTACTTAGCGATGGGGAGGGAGTGTCTCCCGGGAGCCGCCGCCGTCCCCATTGTTCCGCTGGAATAAACTCCCCCTTCCGCCTCCTCCTGCCCCCTCCTCGGCGGTCGTCGGGGCTTAATCCGCGGCGGCGGCGGACGGGGGGGCGGCGGGGAGGGGAGGTGGCTTATTCCGCACGGCCGCGGCGGGGGCTCCGCCAGCCCGCCCGCCCGCCGCACGGCGGGAGCTGGGACGGCGCCCGGGGACACTCCAGCCCGTAATTTCTCTCCCCCCTTTGCCTTGCAGATGTAGGAATGAGGGTCGGAGCGGAATACCAGGCGCGCATTCCTGACTTCGAGCCCGGTAAATGGCTTTTCGGCTGTAACCTGACATCTCCCGAAGCGGGAGGGGTGGGCTCGGTGCCGGGGCGGGCTCGGCGCTCCCCGGCGGCGGCGGCCGCGGGGTTGTATTTAGGTTGCTTTTGAGCCTTTGTGTCGGCGATCCGGTGCCGGCGGCGGGAGGCTTGGCCGGGGCAGCATCTGCGCTCCGTGCGCCCGGGGGCGGGGGGGCATCGCGGAGTGGGATTCTCACTTCATTATTGGCCTCATTATGTGCATCCGGCGGGAGGCGGTGAAGCAGAAAAAGGTTGGATTTTTTTTTTTCCCCTTCTTAAACCGTAACGCACATAATACATTAACCAGGTGATTTTAAAATATTTGACGAGGGGTGATGGATGTTCTCGGGCAAGGGTGGGAAGTGATGCGCCCTGCCGGAAGCGGAGCAGACCTTGGCTGCGTGCTGGAGGCGCTGGGTGGAAGATGCGCTTGGTGGGAAACTCCTGCTCCTGATTTTGTGTGCTGTAGTAGCCTCGCTAGCCCCGCCGTGGCAGGCTGAGCTGCTCTCCTCCGCCTTCCTCGTCCCCCCAGCCCCGCCCCGAGGAATACTGGGTACGCTCGCATAGCCTGGTACTCGGCTTTAGCAAGTCAATCGCTAGAATGCTGTCTTGCCTTACTACACTGAGCAGGGAGACCGGAGGAACGTTTATCAGTTTTGCTGTAGTGGTCAGATGAAGCCTATCTACTTTCCTGTTCTCCAAATGGGCTCCATTGGTGTGAGATGATTTCTCACCGGAAGAGGATTGCTCACATAGTGCCTCCTAAAGCTGGAGAGAGCCCCTCTTGATGGGCGCAAGCCCCACAGGCCAAAGAAAAGGCCGGGAGAAAGAAAGGGGGAGGGTGGGATTAAATGGATGCATGATCTTGGCATAAGGGAATGCCTTTCCCCTAGGAAGGAGCACGTAGTCTAGGTCTCTTTGTTAATAAGGCTAACTGCTTACACCCTTTATTTTTACATTGCCTACATAAAAATAAACACAAATAAAAATGATTGTTTCTAACCTGCAGCCAGGACTTGTTTTTTCTACAGGCCACTTAAATTAGAAAAACACATAGTGTTTTTCTTTTGATTAAACGAACTCTTCAGCCCTTGTAGGGCAACTGAGGTTTTGTGGTTTCAATTTTGTAAACTGTATATGCAATAGTATCATTAACTGGCATCATTGTAACTGCAGAACTAATTTTATGTTCTCTTATAACCAGATCTTTTAGAGCTCCTAAGTGTTTCTGGGGGATGGAATTCAACTAATGCCCCTTTCCCCAATAACTGGGACTAATATATACTCACTTTATCAATATCCTTAATGATGGAGATGTTTATCTAAGAAGTCCTGAATTAGAGGCATAATGTATAGTATTGTCCTTCTTAATGTGTCTACTTTGATTATTAGGGCAAAAAGGCAGTGACTTTTTTTGGAACACTCAAGTCTTACAAAATATGAAATAAATAAAAAAGTCCAAGTGTAAAAGTACAGCACATACTTACCAAGTTAACGGATTGGTTATCTGAGGAGATCTCAGCAAGATCTCATGCTTTAATCTGATTTTTTTTTTTTTGGGTTGAGTTTATTCTTCTGATGAGTCTTGAGGTATCATTTCTTAGAGACAGAGGTAATGCAAGGCAAATCCTTGCTCTTAGAGCTACATTTAGGTTACTTTTTTGTAGTAAGTGAGGTAATATGCTCCATTGTACTTCTAGGTTGCATATACCAACACAGACACTGATTAACTATGTTTCTTCTTGAAATGGTTTAATACCCTTTTTTGAGGGTTTACCTGATACTTTAGAGTGTGTGTTTATTTGTCATACTCCGAGGGCTGGTTTTTTAAGCCCCTTAAAACAAATAGGTGGGAGAAGGTAATCAATGGTGGATGAAACTAGACATAACTCTAAGACACAGTCAACCCTCTGATAAACACATATAACTGAAATGAGTAGAATAAATACCAATCCTTTGGTCTCACTTTACCTGTGTTGAAAAATACCCATAAGCAATACTTTGCAACAATGTATTGAGGAACAAAATATTCATAATCAAGTTATGATGGTAGTAAATATTTTTTTAAAACTGAGTTTATATAAAAAATACTTTTTTAAGAAAAAGCAGATCAACTGTTTCTCAGTATTTCTTGGAAGAAGTGGATTGTGGTTGGAAGCAGCAATTAGGAGAAGTTAGTTTAAACATACTCTTTCTTAACACTTCCCACACCATACTCTTTTTACATGCAAGCCTTCAGACAGTGCTTAAGGGAAATAGCATTTTTAATTGTCATTAGATTTTACTGCAATTTTGTCACTGCAAAACCAATTTTAATAAGGAAATTTAGGGGGTTTATTTTATCTAATTTACTCGGTTAATACACCATCTCCTGCCCTCAAGATTTATCTTCTGGTTTTCCTATAGTACTTTGTATTCTTAGGGAAAATGTTTCTGCTTGTACTTTCTGACCCACCTATATATATAGCAGGATGTTACAAAGCTAGTATCCTTATGTTGTGGGCTGCTTGCATTCTCTTGGAAAGCATAGTGGAAAATGTACCATGCTGCTGTGTCATCCACATATAAGATAACTGCTAGAGAAGTTTTATTCCACTCGGATTTGGACTTCCCAAAGGTTTTAGTATGAATTTTACTTACTTAATACTGAAATATTTATTTCCCATTTACCCTCTTCTCAGGGATGAGGTTGGGGCTGTCAAGAAGAATATTTTATACCTTTTAATGTCACTTATGGAACCCATGTCTCTGTATGTCCTTATAACTTTTCTCCCTTTAGTCTTCTAAAATGAAAACAAACTTTCTTAAATTGAAATTATATGGTGTGGTGAAGTATATAATGTTTTCCATTTATTTCATGCCATCTGTCTTCATATTCCCTGTTTTGTTGGGTTTTTTTAATTTATTTGTTCATTTACTTATTTCCAATCCTTAGTTTTAGAAATTTGGGGTTTCCTCCGGTTAGTTTCCATGTTTTTGTTCCTAGCTTAGTTCAAAGCTTAGTCTTAAACAGAGGATAGTACATTGTATGCTGGAAACCAGTATACTTTTAAATTTCCATGCTGCCCCATGGTGCCCTTATTATGTCTTGTATGCGTCTGGATTATCATTTTATTCTCAGTCCTTGGAGTCATGCACAGAGCTGCACCATCCGAGTGTACCCAACTTCTAATGTGAAGCTGAAGTTTACAGAGCGTCAGTTTGCTGCTGTAATTTCCCTGTTCTGGAAGCGGCGGAGAGTGCCTATTGGTCATCTTCAGCCAGCTCCATTTCCTAACTGGTATTGGCAGAGAGGTGCAGCAGCTCTCTTAAGAGCTTCTCTTAGGAGACGCCTCTTCCTAAGAGACTTGAATGAGAAGTTTGGGCAGAGGGAGACTTGTTATACTTCAGGTGCAGCTCTTGGCCTTTGTCTTCCTGACTGGCTTACAACTCTACTCTTCTAACACGCTCTGGTTAACACGTTCCTTGGTATTTCCAGCC